ATGCCCCTGCCCTTCTCCCACCCGCCAGGGTGAGGGCACACGGGCTTTGCACACCCCACCCGACCCCTCACAGCGGTTTGCGTTGAACACGCTAGAACCACTGGCAGGGTTCTGAGATCCCTTGGATGCACCTTAACCGAAACGGACTGGGCAGCACCTCCGCACGCTGCTACATCCCACATTTGTGGGGGCGACTGCCGGGGAGGGGAGGGTGGGTGAGAAAACCCCTGTGGGAGTTGCCTCTTAAACCAACTGGGAGGCACCCAGCCCAGCGGGGTGCCTGGTGGTGTCCCCCCGGGGTGGGGGCGCGGGGGGGAGCCCGTAGGGGCTGCCCTGAGGGACCAGGTCCTCGCCGAGGGGGAAGGAAGGATGCTCAGCTCCGTCGAAGTGCGAGGAGATGAGGCAAGGCGAGGTGTTAGAGGAGCATACGGGCTTGTTCCCAGAGAAAAAGATGTTGCTGTGCGTCTCGATCCTCCTCTTGATAATATAAACCAGGAGGAGAAAGTAAAATGTAATTGCTATACAAGCACCGTGCTCTGTCTTTAGCGCGGCAAGTAGGCATTAACAATATCTAAACGATTTCCGAAAGATGTAAAGGGGAGCTTAGTGCAACCTGAATGAAGATGAGTACTTTAAAAGAAATTAACATTATTCAGTAAGCACTTCACTAAATTGGTTTCATTTATATATGTACGTTCATGCCCAGACAGCAAGTCCAGTTGGTATGATTTCTACAGTAGGAAAAAAAATAGCAAATCAATGTACTATACTATTAAAGCTTTCTTAAAAAAAAAAAAAAAAAAAAAAAAAAAAACAAAACAAACAAAAAAAAAAAAAAAAACAACCTACCTAAAGCAAATTTTTAGGGAGGCAATGAAAGAGGGAAGACAGACAAGTATTGTGACGGTATTAATACTGGTAAGACAAGGAAGGAGAAAATGGGTAATTGCCCATAAACACTGCTCTTAACTTCAGCTATGTAACAGAACAAATAATTAGAACAGTAACCACCACTTAAAACTCAATAAAAGCATAATGTTTTTATAAAAGTCTTGTGAGATAATCTCACTTTCCACATTTCTCCTCCATTATCTTTCTCCTGTCATGACACGGGGAGAGTGCTACAGCACCCTGCTGTGCAGAAAAAGCAAAAGAGGACGTTTGGATGCAGCCGTAAGCAGAAGAAACAGCATCAGCAGTAAGATGCAAATTAAAATCTAATCAAAAACCTGTTAGCAATACAGAGAAACTGACTGTGGGAGAAAGAAGGTTTTATTGTGACCACAGTAACTGAGTGAGTGAACTGAGTCACGGTAACAAAAGAAAATTGCTGCACTGTCAGCTATCAACCCTGTATCTAGATGTATTAAATCACGGACTAGGAAAGCAACAGGTCAGTTCATGAAGTTGAGGAACAACAGCATTTCTATCTCACTACCAGAAACATCTCAGACAAATGGAGCTTATTTTGAGGGGACTATGGAGGAGAAAAGACATGATCAAAAGTTCCAAGACTCTGCACTCCCAAGGAGCAGAGAAATTGAAAAATGTATCATCAACCCTGTAAGCAGCAGCAACTATGAAGCTCAGCATCCTATGGAGCACCCACACAAATCTTCTCATGTCTGATAAGCTGAATGCTTGCTACAGCTCTCCTCTCAGCGGGGGCATCAACCTCATCTCTCTAGCCACCAGCAGTCTTGAGGTTTCTAAGAATTTTATCACATTGAAATCTCTACTCTTCTACTTATATTGGTTGAAACTGATCTCCAGGGGTAAAGAATTACTCTGGGGCAATGAGGGGGGCTATCAGTCAAGATGGTGTTATTATTTTAGTTTTCTCTTGTTAGGAAACTGGGTTGGAAAGAATATAGTCAGGACAGAGGGGAGGAAATAACAAACAGAAATCTCAAATAGGAAAAACTTTTAAAACCAGAATTATTAAGTCAAATACAGAAGACATTATTTCCCAGGAGGAAAGACAGATTTTGGAGCTTTTCACAAACTGATCACCATTCCTAACTTTCTAGGATTTCTGCTAAGCCATACTCTTAGGCTGCAGTGAAAATCTGGATGATCCCCTTGTAAAAATGTAAACACCAGAACCTTAATCCATTCTAACACAGATGTTTGACTGTCCAAATACTTCTACCAGACAAGATCACTTGGACTTACTTTTGTAATTCTTCCCTCTCAGTGCTGGTGGCGACCCCATGGGTCTGAGTGGCCAGTCTGGATGTCACAGAGCAGAACAAATCAAGCCATCAATCCGAAATCCTGCATTGTTTCACTGCTTGCAAAACTCTTTGAGAAAACAAGGAGCATGCTAGGGAGGCACTGCAGTGAACAGAGGCTCTCTGGCCATCGAGATATGGAGAGCACACAGAAATTTCCCTTGCTTTGCCCCCAGTGACAGTCAAGAGGGACCCATGCCCAGAGAAGTGAGCAAGGTCCTGGAGCATCTTCACCCGAAAGAGAAATCAGTGAAGTCCAGCAGAAGGCCTGGGAGGAGTTCGGGGAACATACAATCTCCCACAAGAGTGATCTTTAGTTGATGGAGAAAACTACACATACAATTCCTCACAGATTTTCATCCCAGGTTTTAGAAATCAAAGGAAGTAGGTACATTCTGAATGATTCATTAAAAATGCTCATCGTTATACTAAACAGAAAATATTATTTGGACAGGATAAATAGATAGATAAAGAGACACAAGGGAACAATTTTGCACTTCCAGACAGATTAACAACATGACCTGACTGAGTTTATCTCTCTCTGCATCTTATTATTTGCATTAACATTTTTTAAATTTGTCATGATTTTGAAGTTTTATAGCATACTGATGTGAGCTATTCTGTTTTGATTAAGTTTGTTACTGTCATGACACATCTAAGGCAAAATAGACTGTACTCTATTCCAACAGGGTGTATTTCAAAACTAAACTACAGAACTAGACCTTCACTTCAATGGTACAGTGAAGTGATTGATTTTAGAAGTTATTTGGGTGTTCCTAGTGAATTTTCAATTTATCTTACTTCCATGTAAGTATTTTTCATCAACCGCAATGTAACATTTCATAAACGTCATAGCACAAGCATTCAAGTTCATAATTTCAAAGCAAATATTAGCAGCTGAAGGAAAAAAAAAAAAAAACAAAAACAAAACCAGAAACAAACGATTCTCATCCCCATGACTTCTTCAGTGAGGAAAGGTAAAAAAAGTGTCATGGTCTTTCCTTCAGCTGTTTTCAAGGTCTCTGTTCTGATCAAATATTTCATCCGAACTGTTTTTTCTAGCTATAAAAAGGTCATGAAGTTATACTGGGTAAGTCAACGTGCCCTATATATTTTTACATTCATCAATCCTATCTGCAATGCCCCCCAAAGCTGGCAAAGATTTTCTCAGAATGACCAAAGCCTCATTACTTTTCAAAATTCAAATCTAAGAATTGGGTGTATCTGTGTCAATCAGACAAACAGCATGCTGTAGATCGTTTTATCTTTCATTTCAGGAATATTTTTAATATTCTCTTTCTTCTTCGCTAAAAGCACTTGCTTGTTCTTCAAAGTCCACAAATAACTTTTAACAAATGCAGAGGAGCATCATTCATAACTGAATTAAGAAAAAATTCTCTTATTGCCAACATTGCAATCAGAAAGAAAAATTCCTGCCTTGCGAGTGATCAAAGTACAAGGACACTCCCTGCCATCACGGAAAGATGAAAGTCAATGATGTATTTTACCCGATTTTCTAGGAACATCTTTTGCATCAACAAACTGCATGTTAGTTGTGCACTATGTTCTCCGTGCAACTTCAACTATGGACTTTGTGCACAGCGGTTGTTTTTCAGAAATGTATTTTAATAGAACTAAGCGGTGTCATTATGTAAATAAAGCTGGTATTTTTACTCTCTACTCTTCACGTTCTTTCCACTGATTAATCTGACCCTACAAACATAATTACAGAAAGGAGCCGCAGGTGAAATTCGCACCTGAAGCACTTTGATTGCTTTTCTGCTGGAGAAAAAAAAAAAAAGTCATTTTAGTTTTCTTCCTGGTGAGAGGCGGTCTGTTTATAACACCTAACGCTAATAAACGTTAAACCCGCTCGGTCAGCCGTACGGAAGCATCCAGGACGGGGAGGCGCGGGCAGATTATCCGCGACTTACCCACGGTCACGCCGAACACCACGTCCCGCGGGGGCACCCTCAGCCGCCGCTTCACCCCGCTCCTCTCCCACCGCGCCCGGGCTGCCGTGACCCCCCACCACACGCACACACCCCACACACCCCCCCCCCAAGCGCCGGGGGTGCCGCTCAAGGGGTGCCCCCAAACCAGACGGCGGCCGCAGGGGCCCGGCTCGCCGAGGGGCCGCGACGCACACGGTACCTGCCCCCCCCCCCCCCCCCCGCCTTCCCTCAGGGGCTGCCCCCCCCGCCCGACATCCAACTCGCCCCTTCGCTCCCCCCCCCCCCCCCCCACGCCGCAACTCACGCGGGGCCGGAGGTGCCGCTCCCGCGGGTCTCTGCCCTCGGCCCGCGCTGCGCCGGGAGGCGGCGGGGCTGCCGCGCCCGCCCTGCGGCCGCACCGCCCCCCCCCCCGCCCTCCGCTGCCGCCCGTCCCGGCGGGGGGGGGGGGGCCGGTGCCTCCCCCGGAGCGCACGGGAGTGGCCGCCGGGCCCGGGGGGAGCGCACCCTCGGCGCTGGGACGCGGCACCGCTCCCCAAAATACCGAGCGTCAAGCGGTCCAGCTTTGCATGCCCCCCCCCCCCCCCCCCCCCATTCTTGCCTCCGGAGCCGAGAGAGGGGGGACCCGGCCGGGACACCCCCCTCTGCAACCTCCAACACGCGTGGAGAGCCGTGTCCCTCCCGAGGGTCCCTGGGCCCCCGTGGCCCTCCCAGAGGCACGGAGCTGTCCCTCGGCAAACCGGTGGCGGGGAGGGGCGCAGCTCCCGGTGCCCAGTCACCCCAAAACGGCCGGGAGGGAGAATACAGCTCTTACCTGGAGCCTTGCTCATTTCAGCCTCCGTTCTTCACGTTACACATTTTTTTTTTTTTTTTTTTTTTGGCTGCGGTCCCTCGAACCGCATCAGCAAAACGACACAGGACATCCCCCCGCAGCTGCCCGACGCAAGGCTAGTGTCCGGCAAATTCTGGTGTGAAAACAACGCAGAAAGTTGGCACCTGGTTGTAGCCCTATGTGACCCCCTTTTGGCTACAAGCTTTATCCTCCGGCGCAGGAGAGGTCGAGGAGCAGCTGCAAAGAATCTGCCCTGAGGCTTCTGGCCTCTGGGACCGGCACAGGAGCTTGAAAAAAAATCCAACCTGGGCCTGAAATCAGCAGTCTTTGCATTTTTCCTCTTAAAGTGTTGCCTTGTGAAGAATACGGCAAGTTCTCTGTCTTAATTAGCGCGTTTCAGTGGAAACACAAAAGTTAACCTCTGGCATCTTAGAGTATATACCGGGGCACCAGCCCATTCCCTACAGCTGGGTGCGTAAAACCACATTATACCAAACTGTCTTTGAAAGCTTTTTAAAAGATCTAGAAACTCTAAGCATTGATTTTTAACATAGGTTTGTTTGTTTGTTTGTTTTTTAACATTGTACCAAAAGGACTCTGGATTATTTATTTTGAAATCCCTTTAAACGGCCATGAAAATCTCACTACAGTCAATCTATATATATATGAGCCTTTATCCAGCTACTTCCCTAGATCCATACATAGCCACATGACAAGGGAACCTGCACAGAATTTTTCCATTTATACCTGGTATTCAGAAAAACTGGACAGATTCAGCTAAAGTGGGTAACATGTCCAGGTTTTTCAGTGCTTACACGACAAACTGTGTCAAGCTTTTCATCGTCTTTATTTAAGATAACAAATAAAGGGAGTCTGAGGATCAGAATCTTATTTCATTTTGAAACTGAAGTTGGCGTCCCTGAACCTAAAATCCCTTGGGTTTCCTTTTTACATTTTTTTTTTTTGTGTGTGACCTAGAATACTTAGGATCTATTTTTAAGACTGTTTAAGCCTTGTCATTACAGTAATCCAATTTACAATGGGAACTTTAAGCACCTAATAACTCAGGTGATGGCTTAGAATTGGTTGATTATCTTGCCTTTTTATTAGATCTTTCCAAATGTCCTCTTAAAGTATAAGAGCTGTAGTTTGGAGTCATGCCAATACTTCCTCTAAAATATTTTTCCTAGAATGTAATTTATTATATCTCCTTTAATGATTAGTCTCTCTGTCATTTATTTTATTATTTGGACAGATGGTTTGATTTCTCAAATAACCTTTATGACTACCATTTTTAGCTTAATAACGAAAATAATTGGCAGATGTCTTTCGTTTTCTGGGTTATAAGAAAGGTTTATTCAGAAGAATGAACCTGCAGTTACTCTCCTATGAGGCTAGTCTTTATACTATAAATTTACATTCAGCATCTCATTTTTCCAGCAGAAACTGGAATTCAGTGGGCTGATCACTTACGGTGCTTTGCTTGTGTGAGGACACGCGAGGAAAGAAGAATATACCCAACCACCATATAGGTCACCATTACAGAAGTTAGTGCCAAGATACAGTCCTGGACTTAGCTTGGTGAAGGCCCTGACATCTTTCTAGCACATCTGGATGTCTTCTGAAGGAAAAGCCAACGTGCGTCTCCCTCCAGACTTATGTGGTATTATTTCTTCTGAGGTAGTACCAGATGCTCCTTGACTTTCCTCATGCAGCCCGTGTCTGCCGTGTACAGGTGGGATTTCACGTGTGGGCATGGAGCACTTCAGACACCGGTTCTGAACTAGACCCAGCAGGAATGTCTGGAAGAACTGCAGATGCCAATAAGTGAGACGGTTACTATAGGGCAAAAAGTTCTTCAGGGATGTGCATGTTCCCACCGCGGCGCTGAGAGAAAAGCCCTGTCTGCCAAGAAGCAGGTCACTTACCTTACTGATATTCAGAAGTGGAAAGTGGTTTCGAAGCAGCCAGGACCAACTTATTTTCTGCTGTGGACATGCCTTGACAGAAACACGGAGCATCCCACTTAGAGCCACAACAGGGTTTCTCTTCCCTTTCTTTATCATAAACTGCCGTTTCTTTGATTTATTTTAATTTTTCCCTCCTTATAGCAATATCAATGTCACTCGAAAAACAGATTTTATATCTGTAAGGCGTGCTGAGAAACTTTTCATGTTGTAGCTCTATGCAGTTTCTATATTTTTAGACTTCTGGAGGATTAGGAAAAAATCCTAGTGTACCTCAGTAATATTCATGCCAAAAATTTTCTTTCTTTCTTTATGTTATATTGTACACATAGTTGGATGTTTCAGATAGAAAACAATATAAGATTAAATCCCAAAGAAGCTTCTAATTAAATCGATTGCTATCACAAGAAACAAGCCACTGAGGAAAATACTGTAGCTGAGTATTTTTGAATTCCAGTTGAAAAATCTACAAAGATTATGTTTTACTGTGGTGCCTAGAAGATGGGGAATGAATTCAGTAGCTCAAATCATTGCTAGTCCTGTGACCATGTTCCTTCCACCCGTCATCTAAAATTTTTAAGATAAACAGGATATAAATAAAGTAAAAATGAAGCAAAAGCAGAATGCAGACTTCTACTATTACTTTGCTCCCTGTGCGGCGCCCCCGCTGCAGTGGGCACTGGCGATGCCACCCAGGAGAGGAAGGGGACCGCACCTGGGGAGGGGCGGGGATGCTGCAGGACCACCGTCCTTCTTCGCTGGCCACCTCAGTGGATGGGTCACATAGCAAACCTCCTGCCAACGCCCTTCCCTGAGCTGGGGATAGAGCTGGCCTGAGCTGGGTTTTCATACGATCTGAGCAGCCACCACGGTGGACGTAGCAATGTACCAGAGGCCCCGGCTGCCTTTTAAGCTGTAGGTAGAGTCTTGCCTCAGTAAAGGCTTCTGAACTCTCTCCTTTCTTCTAGAGAGCTGGCTTCAGAAAGCTGACATTTTGCCCTCCTTAAAAGCATCGTCTTAAGAGACGTAGAATAAATGAATATTCCTTGTTTAAAAAAAAAAAAAAAAATTCTTAGAGTGTTATAAATAAGATGACAGAGCTAAACAGAACAAGCAGTGTTATCTGAAGGTAAAAGGCATTTTTCAAGAAGTGGAAGTTGTGCGCAAACAAGGGAGTTTACAGGGATCATAAACCCAAACAATTTAGGCTTAAAACTACAAAGATTTCAAAGAACACCTTGATAAAGGCAAATATAAAAGTTACTAATAAAATCTTACACCAAAAGAACTAGGAAGCTTTGCAGAGCTGAGAGAGGACCAAGAAGTAGAAGGATCACAAAGAAGGCCACTGAAGGGGTGCTAACTCAACTCTTTGTTGCAGTGTTCACTACCAAAGAGCTTGGAGACATTTATATCCGTACTCTTTCTTTACAAAAATCAGGTCTGAAGAGTTATCTCACATTGAATGGTTGGAAGAAAAAAAATAGCTCAGATAAGTAAACTGGATAATAAAATCAGATGGCCTAAGTCCTGTTCACCCAGAAGTTCCTAGAGAGGTCAGACACTGAATAGCCATTCCACTAACTGAAGTGTAAACATATCTTTCAAATAGTTTTTGAAGTCAAATGAATAGAAAGTACCTAATCTTGAACACGGCTCCAGAGGGTATTTGTATTTGAGGCAATCCACTTAAAAATTTCCTAAAGAGTAGTATCAGTTGACACATGAATAACTCTGAAGCATCAACCTCCCTTTTGTGGAATGAAGCCATGCCTCCCTGCTATCTGCTGAAGGCTTCATCAAGTTCCTTTGTCTATAAATGATCCAGTCTATACAGGACTTTTAAATACCATTAATGCTTCTGTCAAGGTCTTGAAGGCCTTTATAAAGAAACTCGACTATTTTGAGATTAAAAGGATTAATAACTATTTAAAGGCCCATCACAGGATATTAAAGAAAATGGTCCAGGCGCAATTTCTGTCTCACAACACAAGAAAATAGACACAGAATGAAATCCTCAGACAGTGGGTCTGAGACAAATAAAAGAAAGTACTTGTTCCACATTGCCCACATAATCAGAGAACTATATATATAAAAAAAAAAAAATCATAAATGGGTAAAAAACTGCAAATTATGGAAGAAATATCCATCAGGTGCAATTAAACACAAAAATTCAGATTTCCAGTTCTTTATGTGTGTGAGGCCTCTAATAAATGACCCAAAAGCAATGAGGCTTATAATAGGCTACAGAAACAGAAAAGCCAGTGCATCATCTGTGTCTCAGCTCCCTGCAGCTTTAACACCTGCAGTCGTTGTGCTTACTTGGGGAAAGCTCAGACTCTTGAGACATTCAGAAATCTTCTTGGGGAGAATGTTAGTTGGAAAAGTGTTTTAGTAAGGATGCTAGATTTTTTTTTACTTACTTATTTACCAGTATTTTCATTACAAAACTGAAGCATGAGCACTGCATAGAGCCCTTCCTAGTTTGCAAAGCACAATTACTCTAAGTGGCAACATCTTTTTCTTGTTACCATCTTCCCCTCATGTTGGATCAAAACCAGGAGTGGACCTCCAACATACTGGCCTCTAAATTAGTACGAAGCAAGAGTTAACTCCACAGAAGTTGAAAGCAAGTATGATGCAAAAATCAAGCTTCCGATTCAAGAGATTACATGTGTGAATCCAAAATACTTCCACATGCAACCTTCCTGTCGTCTGTGATAGAGCATCAGGCTTCAAGCCTTGCTGTGACCTAGAGCAAAACTGACAGCCATATATGCGCTTTGAATTAAAGCGGTCTGAGGAGAAGGGAGGAGATTACATTGCCTAGATTCAGCAATGTCTACCCAGAGGATCTGCAGCTGAAATGTGTTCTTATCAGAATGACAAAGCCAGGGTTTGAACAGAGATGCTGATTTTTCAGCCCGGAATTGGCCTTGACAGGTTGCATGTGAGATGTGCCCTGCAGATATCCAGCTCTTGCCTCCTACCCTTCTTCATTTCCAGGCTCCCACACACATTCATAAAAGGATTAGAGCATTTAAATAACCCGGTTACAAAATTGTATTGAAACTTAGATACTGATGCAAATTGTACAGCCCGTTGGCGCTGTATGAATCATGCCAGGCCTAGAATGAGTCTACATTAATTCCAAGTGTGCTGTATTTCCATTTCCAAACTAGTTCTCTTTTGATATTCATATTGCAACTTGCCTTCATTTAGATTATTTTCTTTCTTTTTGTGATTTTCCTTTGCATCTATTAATGCTCTTGCCAAGTCTCTGTATACAT